CTTTGGACCAACGAAGGATTAGAATTTTTTTGTAATGTACGTAATTGGTCCAATTTACGATTTATTGAAGCAATGACGTTTACATATGCCCTATACGCAACGTCATATTTGCTTTCTGCAGATGTGATGTCTTCGCTTTCAGCATCTTCAGAAGTTTGGAGATATGTAAGACATTGGTCAAACATTTCCTTCACTTTACTCCACAATTCCCTTGCCTCAGCGGCCTGAACATCAAGGGAATATATGTCCAACTCTTCCTCTCGAAGAGAAGTAAAGTTGGCTTCAAATTTTACCAGAGCATCAGTTGCTCTGATAAAGAAATCAAGTGGAGATAGTGGCATTGTGAATTAGAAAGCTGTATGAATCCAGCCAAAGAGAAAAAGAAATGAATTTAAAAATCGCAAATCTGAAAATATCAGTGTAAACAAACTTAAAATTGGTAAAACTCAACGAAAATTGAGTGAAATTTTTCAAATTTATATTGAAACAGCACGAAAATGCTTTTATCTCTTAGTGAATGCTAACAAATACAACACCCAACTAGATAAAGAAACTCTTTTTTTTTTTAATTTAAAAAGAAGTGATGAGAAAATGTAAATAAATTTTCTCGGTAATGAAAATCGAAAAGATTTTCACTGTGTATCGAATAATACACTCTTGTTTTTATGAGTATTTAAAAAAATACCAAAAACTTGAAGAAGTATTTGCAAATTTGACAAATTTTGTTTCGTTAGGCGTTTCAGTGTATCGAAAAATACAGAGAATTTGATTTGTGTATCGAAATATACACAACAAAATTATTTCCGAAAAGAAATAATTTAAATCCAAAACAAATCGCCAAAAAATTGCAAAAAATCAATAAAAAAGTAATTTTGTTTAATATTTATTACTGACTGTAGGGTGCACGGACTGTAAGATGCACGCTACAGTTCAAAATAATAATTTTTTTTTCCGAAAAGAACAACAAAATTTAAAGAAATATTTAAAAAATTAAAAATATTAAAGATATTTATTAATAACTAGCTGGCCCGGTCCGCGTTGCCGGCCCGTAGTTTTTGTCTATTATGCATATATTCCCAAGCATAATTATTCACAGATATGACTGATATAAGTGTTCACGTACAGGTCGATTTAAAGTGTTTTAAAATACCTGTACCCATTTTTAACCAGTGGGCTTCAATATTTAAACCGTGGGCTTCAACTGTGTGGATGTGCTATACAAATCTATTAAAAAGTATATATCAATCTTATCGCCATATAAGGGATCAAATTAATTTTTAATATGGTAAAAATCGTAGCAAAATCTTCCAGTCAAATGAGCAGTAATTTGGAATTTGCTGTATTTTGTATACTACATAATTGAGGGCTGAATGATTTAAGAATAGCCAAAGTTAATTACTTTTTTAAACCCATTAGCAACTTAGATTGTGCATTAGAGTCCTCATAAGTCCCCCTAACCATGTCAGTCTGTTTGTCCGCCAAAAGGTGGACTTGAAAGGGTATTATAACATGGATAAAAATTCTAAAATTTGTAGATATGTTGAAATTTTAGTGTAAGATTTTCACCCCCCTAATACGCATTATTAGCCAAATTCTTTGAAATGTGGTTAAATTAGGAGGTACCTTCTTTATATGGGCACTACTCCGAAACATCGACCTACATTGAAAACTTTCTTCTACCCCTTATAATCCAAGATGACAAATAGAGGCCAAATCAAAAATATAGCAGAACAATATAGCATGTCATAGCATTTCGCGTGATTTAAATAAGTAAAAATAGTTTTATCCACCTAATAATTGAGGGCAGAATGATAAGATGGGAATTAATTTTATTTGCCATTTAAATTGTAAGTTGGAGACCCCTTAAAGTCCATATTTTCATCATAGGATAATTCAATGATGATTAAACAAATATTCGGTCCCGTGCTACTTTCTTATATTTGTAATTTGTTCATGTTTCCACAATTTATTTCATATGGATGCACATCCCAAATCTACGTTCCCAACCAATATTCTCTTGGGGGTTAAAAATTCAATAGAATACTAAATTTTCTTTTCTGAACACACATTAGATGTGAAAGTGGACTTGGGGATACTCCAATGTGGGGACTTTACTTAAATAAATTCCTATGTGGCAATTATCTGTATGATGGTTCCCTACCCCAGGGTGGCATAAATAAAATTTTTTAGCCAAATCAATTGATGAATGTGGTCAATACCAATATGGGCCCTACTCTGAAAATTTCAAATTTTATGCGAAGAGGTTATCTACCCCCTTAGAAACAAAAATGTCAAATAAGGGCCAAAAAATGAAAAAAGTGACCGGCCAAGACCCCAAAAATAACTTAAATCATAGATGGTTATATAAATATGAAATCGGGTTGTTCCCTTATCCATGAGTTATGATCGATATAAAGACCTGCAAAAGTGATTTTAGGTATTTTGAATGTTTGGGAAGAATTTCTGGAAGGATATAAAACCTTTTCTTACTAAAAGTCCCATTCGCTCTACTATTTTGCACCGTTTATTTCAATATTGGTATATTACTTATTATTCTCCCAAAGAATTTTGCATTTTGAGCTCTCATTGGACGGATCATTGTCACGCTTTGAAATGAGCCCCATTAAGCTTTTCGGTCATTTTTGTTTGTTTAAATGTGTTCGCATCTTTCAGCTAACCCACGATGTAGGCCCTGGAGTTGAAAGGTAGATGTCAGTTAACATCCTATTTCGCACGTATTTAATTTTTTTAGTGAAAAATTATTCTTTATTTTGTTCACAAAAAATCCACTGAATTCAATATGATAATACAAATTGAAAAAAAAATTGACAAAAAAAAGAATAACAAATTGAAAAAGTCTTCAACTTTTTCGCTGATTTTTTACAGCAAATGTTTTAAGATCCTTCCTTACAAAGTTTGTCAATAGAATGTACTATTACTTTAAAATTCGATTCCATTGAAAATGTTTTTTTGATTTTTGCAATGAGATCTCTTTTTCATGATTTTTCAGCGATTTAGAAAAAGTAATTATCTTTTAACTTTTGGTGTGACCGCGTTAAATTATTTCGATATCATCTATTCCGTTTCGCCACCACATAATTCGCTACTACACTTCCATGTAACCCGCCATCAATTTCAGTTCTCAAGAAATCAAGTCAATTAAATAAATTGGTATAAATATTCGAATTCAAAAATAAAATATAAAAAAACACTACAAATGTACATTAGAAAAAGGTAAGTCAAAATGGAAAAAAATCATGCAAAATAAAACATTACTATTGTACATTTGAAAAGTCAAAATGAAAATGTTAATATATCACATTTTTACGCGATTTTTTTGGATATTATCCTTTTCGGAGAGTAGACAACTCCGAATTTGTGTGAATCGTTAAAATTAATCCAGCGGTTCTTAAGTTATAAGCGTAGTAACTAACACAACTTACATTTATATATATAGATATATAATAATAACGAAAATTATTATTAAATATCGAAACGACCGAAAATAGGGTGTATCCAATAACGAAATAGTTAATTTCCAACAGAACCGTTAAAACTTTTAAGAAAAAATTAAAATTTTTGAAAAAATATATTTTTTAATTTTGGCCCGAACAGACCTAATAAACAATTTTCACTTTTTGCAATGAACACACCTATTACACGGTGTGGTGGTTACTGACTACCTAACACAAGTCAGTCAACCACAAGCATACAGCACACAGTCGCTCATCAACATCTGTTGACACTAGACTGTTTTTTCGCGCTGGTCGCTTTTTTATTTCAAAACAAAAACAAATAAACAAATACCGCTAACACACACACAAACATAAGTTATTGATACCGAGTTTTTTCCTTTTTTCTTTGTAAAATCTCATACACAAAGATAAAATAATTTTTTAATATTCGCACAATGGGGGGAGTAGGGGAACCTCCTCCTCCGCCTATACCACCTCCTCCACCAGGGGAACAAAATAAAAGAAGAGCTCCAAGTATTTCTAATGAAACAAAAACATTTAAAACCCATAATGGAACACCTGTTAAAGCATCTAACACAAACACAGAACCCACAACAAAGAATGAAATATCAAATCAATACAATTACAACTCTTTAAACAAGGAAACCATTTTATATCCAACATATCACCCTGGCCCTTTCCATGTATTAGTCTCCTCAGAAACACCAATCAGTACAAGGAGGAAGAATTGTGAATTACATCTTTATGCAAGATTCCAAAAGATTAACATCACTGATTATGCTTGCAAGAATATTGGCTACAATCTTTTTAGATTAACTTTCAACAATGCTAGCTCGGCAAACTCTTTTGCAACAAATCCAAATTTAAAAGTAATTGATCTCAAAGCGTTTATCCCAGAAAGATTTGTGCAACGATTTTATATAATCAAAAACGTACCAACAAGTATTAATGCCATTACAATTAAGCAATAAATTGAAGCAAATAATGATATGGACGTTGTCTCAGTATACCGCTTTACAAGAAAAACTGAAAATAACAAAATTGAACATTCCGAAACTATTAAAATCGGTATAATTTACGATGGTGTACCCACCGAAATATTCATGTGCGGTACAAAAATCTCACCAGAGCTGTATGTGCCTCCTGTTCGTCTGTGCTTAAACTGCGGACGTCTAGGACACATATCAATTCGTTGCAGGTCGACGAAAAATGTTTAAACTGTGGTAAATTTATCATATGCCCTAATCAATGCCCAAAAGAGCAAAAATGTCGAGAATGTCTATCAACTACAACATGTAAAGATGTATGCAACTCTCCACGATGTATTCTTTGCAATAGTATTGACCACTTTGCAACTGATTCAAAACAGTGTCCAAGATGGAAATCAGAACGAAACATAAGAAGTATAATGGCCCTTTCCAATCTATCAAGAAAAGAAGTCGTTCAAAATACCCTGAAGCCCAAAACCGTTTCCAAATACTTTCAGAAGATGAATTTAACACTGCCTCTTAATAAGAATAAAACTCCAAAAAGAAGCGTTTATGAGGAGATAAATAAAAGAGTCACAAAATTAAAATACAGCAAAGTTGCGTCACCTAGAAATCCAATTCATCACGTCACAGCCAGTCCGATTCAAATAACACCGTCTCAACCAATTTTCCAACAAGCAAGTTTTTCAAAAGTATCTGAAATAGAAAAAACATTAACACAGTTTTCCAAAGAAATGTCAAAAGTCCTTACCTCACTAAATAGTGCCGAAGGTTTAAATATATTAAACAAATTCCAGCAATCACTGCTCCCGTCTGGATTAAATAACGCATCTATTAACACCAATAATACACTCAAAATAAATAATACAGAATCTGAAAGTTCACAATAAAAACTATAATTAAAAAATATGAATTTATTACAATATAATGTGCAAAGTCTAAAGAAAAATAAGAATTTTCTAGAATTCTTTCTTAAAAAGCAAAAAATAGACATATGTATTCTGAGTGAAATATTTAATATAGACGAAAGTCAAAACTCTTCATCTATACAAAACTATAATATAATCTCCAAAAAAAGAAGTGACAACTATGGTGGAGTTGCCCTACTATTCAAAAAAAATATACAGTTCAAAAAGATCCCTTTCGAAACACCTTTGGATATTCTCATCTGCCAAACCACAAATTTAACAAACAATTTAACTCTGGTATCCATATATTTCCCACACTCAGTGAGATGTGCAACAATAAAAAAAGAACTAGCTAAATTAATATTACTGCTTGATAACCAAATCAACACTTTTATATGTGGCGACTTCAATGCTAGACATACAGCATACGGTGATTCTTTTGTCTCACAGCGGGGAAAAACAATAAAAGAGATCTTTGATGCCTCCAATTTTCAATGCCTAAACAATGGTAACTATACTTTTAAAAAAATATAAATGATCTGGGTGGATCTGTTTTAGACCTATCCTTCACCAACACAATCTTGCCAATACAATGGAACACTTTTAGAAACATGATCGGTGGAAGCCATCACTACCCTGTAATTTTGAATATAAACAAAACAAAGTCCAAAGGACAAATTTTTTTGGCAAAAAAACAATTAATGAGAAATCTTGGTCAGATACAACTAAACAAAAACTTTGAAGATATACAATCTGCGATAAAAGGCGAAATCAGAAAATCTACATATGTTCTAAAAGGAAATAAAACACCAAAAGCTTGGTGGGATTCTTATGTGGAAAAACAATATAGATTCCAACTAGCTGCTCAAAAACATATGACTTATGTAGCAATGATGTCAACGCAAGAAATCTAATTGAAAAGATAAAAAACTTCAAAAATGCAGTACAATTTGCCAAAAAACACACCTTCAAAAATAAGATACAAAATTTAAATAAAGAACCCAGCTCAAAACATCTTTTTCAATTTGTTCGAGGGTGCAAAAACAGTTATCATCAAATGTTAAAGGCAAATGGTCTCCAAATAACAATAAACTATTTCTATCTCATCTAAAAGATCAAGTAACGGACAACAATCCATTTAATTATGTCTGTAAATCTGTTAATAATCGCTCCGTTTTCACAATGGAGGAATTTTTACTGGTGCTAAAAAATAAGAAGAAACCCTTTGCTGCTGGCCTAGACGGCATAACTTATGAAATGATAAATCATCTATCTGCCTCTGCAAAGACCAACTTTTTTGAAGCATTAAACTATTCTTGGAAGAAATGTGAAATCAGAGATGAATGGAGGAAAATAAAAATTGTCCCAATACCGAAAAAGGGCAAAGATCTAGAATTGTTCACAAATTTTAGACCCATTGCTCTAATATCTGTCCCGTTTAAAATAATAAACTTAATGGTAAAAGAGCGTTTGCAACAATTCATTGATGAAGAAAATATTTGCCAACAAATACTTTTGCATATAGAAAACATCTGTCAACTTCAATGTTTATTAACAATTTACTGTACACCATAAACTACTACAAAGCAAAGGTGAGAAAGTTATAATTCTATCTCTAGACGTAGAAAAGCATATGATTGTGTCAGAATAGAAATGCTTCTCAAAATACTATGTGAAATTAACTGTCCGACAGATATCGCTGATTGGATCATAAAATTTCTAAGCAAAAGAACCATTGTAATGGGAAATGAATCAATTGAAATCTACAACGGGCTACCACAAGGCAGTTGTCTAAGTCCCCTTCTTTTTAATATATATACCCTTGGTCTACATGGGATATCTGATGAAAACACGCATTTGTTTCAATTTGCAGATGATTTTGTATTACTATCAGCTCATAAGGATTTCGAATTGGCTAATCAAAATTTGCAACAAAAAGCCATCGAACTTCAATTTCTATTATCCCGCCTGAACCTCACCTACAACACTAATAAAACGTCCGTTATGTATATAGCTAAAGGTCCGCGAAAAATACCATCCATCGCCTTACAAGGTACCCAAATTACACCTGTCAGCAGCATAAAGTTTTTAGGAAGACACATTAAAAACAGCTTATCCCTGAAAGAGCATTATGAGGAAGTTATTCACTCATGCAATTCTTCATTGAATGCAATAAAAATGATCAACAATTTAAAACATGGTTTACTTCCAAATATATTAATAAATCTAGCCAAATCACTAATCTTCTCGAAAACAGAGTATTGTATTTCTTCAATGGCTCATATGCCAACGTATTTGAACAAAAAGCTTACAACTTTTCAAAATCAGATGTTAAGAAGAAGTCTTGGTCTAACACCGTCAACACCTGTGCAGACAATCTACGCACTAGCTGTGATGTTACCACCAGAACAACGATCTCAGTATCTTACCGCAAAGGAATTAATAAAATTTAAGTGTCACAACCGACAGTTATACCAAAATATTACAAACAACCCTACCAACAAGACCAGTTTGGGTTTAATCTACATGAAATTTAAACACATTTTCGACGAAACTATAGTGAATCAGAGAGAATATCCCAGCAGTAAATTCACTTTCTTCTTAAACTTATTTAACTCTTACAAAAAATACACAACCCAATGAATTTTATAGAGTAATATTGCAAGAAAAAACTGAACGACTTCAAAACACAGGACACACGATATGGGCAACCGATGCCTCGATTTCCAGTACTACGACTGGTTGTGCAGTATGTAATATCTCAAAAATCAAAACTTCTTATTCAAAATACCGGCAAAAATGTCATCACTTATGGGAGAATTACACGCCATCAATAAGGCAATAGACATAATGATAGAAGACAACATCAGAAAAGCCACCATTCTTACCGATAGTAAAAATGCATGTCTAATTTTAAAACAAAATGATACCCAAAACTACCTGGCCAACAATATTCTACAAAAGGTAAACAACTCAAGTCTAACACAACTCACCATCATCTGGATTCCCTCGCATATAGGCATTGCTGCTAATGAACGTGCAGACTTTTTCGCCAAACATGCAGCTGAAGTCGGTTCAATCATACAAACAGGCCTCTCGATAAAAGATGCTCGCTCCCTAATCCACCAACATCTATGGAGTGAATGGAAGGAGAATTATAAACATATTTCAATCAGTAAAGGCACTTACTTCTCACAATTCTTCCCAGAGCCACCAAACCGCCATTGGTTTTCAGGATCAACATGTCACCTGGAGAAATTAAGGTTATAAACAGACTTCTCACTGGTCATACATATGGAAAAACTTACCTGTCCCTCATCAATGCTGAAAACTCCAACCTATGCGAAATATGCAACACGCCAAACACGGAAAACCACCAGATTTTTATCTGCCCTAATACAATAATGACAGAATGAATTACAATTCTTTACAAAATTTTCAAACTTACCTGCAGTACTCAAAAGTTTTGCCTGTGAAAACTTTCGTGAATTGTGCGACTTCATTCATAAAACCACATACAGCTATAACCCGGAATCACATCACTCACATCACAACACTACAAGAACAAAAAGAAATGGAAAACAACAAGGAACTCAAAATAATTATCGATAACTAACAATCGACTACACAGCAATGGTACATGCATACTACAGGTATCGTACCAACCTCGTCGTAACGGCGTAATCAATAACCGATTCAAAAAAAAAAAAAAAAAAAGCATACAGCACTGATATGTGATCGTATTGTTGTTGTGATATCCAACAGTAATGTTGTTATTGTTTATTTGTTCTTCTTTATGCAAAGATCACAAAATAACCAAACACAACCACGATAAAGATCACTGCTTATGTATTGCACTTTTTATTTAGTTTTCTTCACTAAGAGCGCGTATATTAAGAGTGTAATATTCTTGAAGAGAATTATTACACGAATTAACAAACCGGCACTGTTGGAAATATATGAACAAAACGAATTGCCGACGGACGGACACTTGTAAAAACGACCGTAGTTAAGCACTTTATTCGTTGTTTTTGTAATATTATTTTTATTTCAAAACGAAACGCTCACGGTTTATGCTCACTAAATAGACGGTACGTACCTTTTTAGTGATGTAGTGATGAATTTATATATATAAATTAATGGATAGGCTGCGAGTGTAGGATGGTAGGCACTGGTAACTGCTGTTTTTTTGACGAAGTCAACCTTTTTCAAAAGGGAAAGAAGAAGCAGATTAGTTTTTTTTGTTGCTGGAAGCACGTATCTCGGCTCGAAGAGACCAAAAATGTTGCGGAGCAGCAAAAATGAGTAAAAAAAGGAAATAAAACACAAAATAATTAGTATTTTTCCAATAAAAATTGGCGGTGTTTATTGAATATTATATTAGTCGAAAAACTAATATAACTTTACCTTTTAACAATGGTGTTGTGTAGATGTTGTTGGACGAAAATCCGAAAAACAAGTAAGTTAAAAGTAGCGAGCAAGCCTAGATGTCCCAAGAGAGGCGCGAATTGATCATCTTTGCTCGTTACAATTTGTCATCACTAACTTTGAACGAAAGTTCAAAGTTGAATAAATGGTATTTGACAAATTGAAGAAAAAGAGCAAAGGGTTGCATTTTTAAAGAAATTAAATTAAATTGAAGTTAAACAGAACTGCAATCAAAACGATGCTAAAAACCCGAAATGTCAATATTTAAGGAGTTATGAGCATTTTAAAAAAGGCTATTTTTCCTCTTAAAATATCTGCAATCAAAACGATGCTAAAAACCCCGAATGTCAATATTTAAGGAGTTATGAGCATTTTAAAAAAGGCTATTTTTCCTCTTAAAATATCTGCAATCAAAACGATGCTAAAAACCCCGAAATGTCAATATTTAAGGAGTTATGAGCATTTTAAAAAAGGCTATTTTTCCTCTTAATATATCTGCAATCAAAACGATGCTAAAAGCCCCGAAATGTCAATATTTAAGGAATTATAACCATTTTAAAACAGGCTATAAAGAAACTGCAATCAAACGATGCTAAAAACCCCGAAATGTCAATATTTAAGGAGTTATGAGCATTTTAAAAAAGGCTATTTTTCCTCTTAAAATATCTGCAATCAAAACGATGCTAAAAACCCCGAAATGTCAATATTTAAGGAGTTATGAGCATTTTAAAAAAGGCTATTTTTCCTCTTAATATATCTGCAATCAAAACGATGCTAAAAGCCCGAAATGTCAATATTTAAGGTTATGAGCATTTTAAACAGGCTATAAAGAATCTGCAATCAAAATGATGCTAAAAACCCCGAAATGTCAATATTTAAGGAGTTATGAGCATTTTAAAAAAGGCTATTTTTCCTCTTTAAATATCTGCAATCAAAACGATACAAAAAGCCCCGAAATGTCAATACTTAAGGAGTTATGAGCATTCTAAAACAGGCTATAAGAAACTGCAATCAAAACGATGCTAAAAACCCCGAAATGTCAATATTTAAGGAGTTATGAGCATTTTAAAAAGGCTATTTTTCCTCTTAAAATATCTGCAATCAAAACGATGCTAAAAACCCCGAAATGTCATATTTAAGGAGTTATGAGCATTTTAAAAAAGGCTATTTTTCTCTCTTAAATATCTGCAATCAAAACGATGCTAAAAGCCCCGAATGTCATATTTAAGGAATTATAACCATTTTAAAACAGGCTATAAAGAAACTGCAATCAAAACGATGCTAAAACCCCGAAATGTCAATATTTAAGGAGTTATGAGCATTTTAAAAAAAGGCTATTTTTCTTTAAATATCTGCAATCAAAACGATGCTAAAAACCCCGAAATGTCAATATTTAAGGAGTTATGAGCATTTTAAAAAAGGCTATTTTCCTCTTAAAAAAATGCAATCAAAACGATGCTAAAAGCCCCGACATGTCAATATTTAAGGAATTATAACCATTTTAAAACAGGCTATAAAGAAACTGCAATCAAAACGATGCTAAAAACCCCGAAATGTCAATATTTAAGGAGTATGAGCATTTTAAAAAAGGCTATTTTTCCTCTTTAAATATCTGCAATCAAAACGATGCTAAAAACCCCGAAATATCAATATTTAAGGAGTTATGAGCATTTTAAAAAAGGCTATTTTTCCTCTTAAAATATCTGCAATCAAAACGATGCTAAAAGCCCCGAAATGTCAATATTTAAGGAATTATAACCATTTAAAAACAGGCTATAAAGAAACTGCAATCAAAACGATGCTAAAAACCCCGAAAAGTCAATATTTAAGGAGTTATGATTTTTAAAAAGGCTATTTTTCCTCTTAAAATACTGCAATCAAAACGATGCTAAAAAAAAACCCCGAAATGTCAATATTTAAGGAGTTATGAGCATTTTAAAAAAGGCTATTTTTTCCTCTTAATATATCCTGCAATCAAAACGATGCTAAAAGCCCCGAAATGTCAATATTTAAGGAATTATAACCATTTTAAAACAGGCTATAAAAAGAAACTGCAATCAAAACGATGCTAAAAAACCCCGAAATGTCAATATTTAAGGAGTTATGAGCATTTTAAAAAAGGCTATTTTTCCTCTTAAAATATCTGCAATCAAAACGATGCTAAAAACCCCGAAATGTCAATTTTTTAAGGAGTTGAGCATTTTAAAAACAGGCTATAAAAGAAACTGCAATCAAAACGATGCTAAAAACCCCGAAATGTCAATATTTAAGGAGTTATGAGCATTTTAAAAAGGCTATTTTTCCTCTTAAAATATCTGCAATCAAAACGATGCTAAAAACCCCGAAATGTCAATATTTAAGGAGTTATGAGCATTTTAAAAAAGGCTATTTTTCCTCTTAATATATCTGCAATCAAAACGATGCTAAAAAGCCCCGAAATGTCAATATTTAAGGAATTATAACCATTTTAAAACAGGCTATAAAGAAACTGCAATCAAAACGATGCTAAAAAACCCCGAAATGTCAATATTTAAGGAGTTATGAGCATTTTAAAAAGGCTATTTTTCCTCTTAACATATCTGCAATCAAAACGATGCTAAAAACCCCGAAATGTCAATATTTAAGGAGTTATGAGCATTTTAAAAAAGGCTATTTTTCTCTTAATATATCTGCAATCAAAACGATGCTAAAGCCCCGAAATGTCAATATTTAAGGAGTTATGAGCATTTAAAACAGGCTGTAAAGAATCTGCATCAAAACGATGCTAAAACCCCGAATGTCAATATTAAGGAGTTGGAGCATTTTAAAAAAGGCTATTTTTCCTCTTAAAATATCTGCAATCAAAACGATGCTAAAAGCCCCGAAATGTCAATATTTAAGCAATTATAACCATTTTAAAACAGGCTATAAAGAAACTGCAATCAAAACGATGCTAAAAACCCCGAAATGTCAATATTTAAGGAGTTATGAGCATTTAAAAAAGGCTATTTTTCCTCTTTAAATTCTGCAATCAAAACGATGCTAAAAACCCGAAATGTCAATATTTAAGGAGTTATGAGCATTTTAAAAAAGGCTATTTTCCTCTTAAAAAAATGCAATCAAAACGGTGCGAAAAGCCCGAAATGTCAATATTTAAGGAATTATAACCATTTTAAAACATCAGGCTCATAAAGAAACTGCAATCAAAACGATGCTAAACCCCGATGTCAATATTTAGGAGTTATGAGCATTTTAAAAAGGCTATTTTTCCTCTTTAAATATCTGCAATCAAACGATGCTAAAAACCCCGAAATATCAATATTTAAGGAGTTATGAGCATTTTAAAAAAGGCTATTTTTCCTCTTAAAATATCTGCAATCAAAACGATGCTAAAAGCCCCGAAATGTCAATATTTAAGGATTATAACCATTTTAAACAGGCTATAAAGAAACTGCAATCAAACGATGCTAAAACCCCGAAAAGTCAATATTAAGGAGTTATGAGCATTTTAAAAAAGGCTATTTTTCCTCTTAAATATCTGCAATCAAAACGATGCTAAAAACCCCGAAATGTCAATATTTAAGGAGTTATGAGCATTTTAAAAAAGGCTATTTTTCCTCTTAATAT